GGAGAGTGTGAGTTCTAGTCCTGCCTTAGGCATGAAGCCAGCTGGGTGATCTTGGGCCAGCCACTTCTTTCTCTCACCTGGCACTGAGGGTGCAACCTAATTTGGGTCATGAAACATCCACAAGAAAACAACCAAGCTTCTCAGAGAGCACCCAGGACACCTCATTTCAACTCTGAGCTTCAAATATTATCCTTTACTGCAGAGGTCTTCAAACTTGGCCCTTTTGTGACTTGTGGACTTCAACTCCCAGAATTCCTCAGCCAGGCGTGCCTGGCTGAGGAATTCTGAGAGTTGAAGTCCACAAGTCATAAAAGGGCCAGGTTTGAAGACCCCCTGCTTTACTGGCACTTTCCCACAGTCCTAGGAAGGAGGCAGTGGCAAATCACTTCCCAAAAAAACCTTGCCAAGAAAACTGCAGGGACTTGTCCAGACAGTTAGCCAAGAATCAAGAGTGACTTGAAGGCACACGCACACATTCCCACCAGCCAAGAAAACCTCAGCGAGTAATCCAGGTAGTTGCTAGGGGTCAAAAGCTGATTTTAAGATACACATATATGTATGTGTGTGTGTGTGTGTGTCAGCCCAAGTCAGCAAACATGCCTGATACCGCTGCCTTCTATTTTCCCCACCACAACAACCCTATAAGGTGGATTGGCCTGAAAGAGAGGCCAATGAACACATAGCCACCTAGTCGTCTTTAAGGCAGGACTAGAACTCACCATCTTCTTGGTTGGCCCAAAGTCACCCAGTTGGCTTTCATGCCTAACCCAGGACTAGAACACAGGTCTCCTGGTGAAGTTACCAGCCAGCTTTTATGCCGAAGGTGGAGCTAGAACGCACCATCTCCTGGTTTCTGGGCCAGCCCCTTCACCTTTACATCAAGATGGTTCTTAATTAAATAAGTGGGTTGCTGTGGTTAAGGTCTTGAGTGTTGGCTTATTTTGAGAGGTTTAGCTTCAGCATCATTGACAGACCGACTGGTGTTTGGGGCTGCAGGGTGCTCACACCAGCCATGTTAAGAGCAAGCAGGGATGGGAGATCACTGTTTCTCATTTTTAATTTAGATGTCTAAGGCCTTACTGAAGATTCCAGGCAGTGTAAAAACAATGTTTCCAACAGGATTTTTTTTAAAGGAACATTACATTAAACACCAGGTTTGGCAATGGTTTTTACTTGACAGTGCATGTGGTAAAAAATAGACTAAAATTTCTGAGAATTTCGTATTCTCTACCTATTACATCATGATTGCTGCTGCAGTGTATCATTCTTAATTAATTATAGTTACATCATGTTATATACTTGGGTAAGCAAAGGCAATGAATGGATATACAAGTTATGAAACATTAATAGTATTATTTCATGGGACCATGCCTGCTGTGCCTTGTGCTCTCTTTCCTTCTACCCCACTTTATATTTTAGTAATATATGCCCTGTTTGCTGAAGAGACCTCTGCTGTGTATGCTAAAACCTATAAAATGGGGTTTTGCTTGATTTATGCCTCAGAGTTCTGGAAATTTTAAAGGTAGAGATCATCACAAAAAAGGGGCCTAATATGTTTGTTGGCTTAGTACAGCTGAAGGAATAAAATGAAGGGTGTATTTGAAAGGACTCAATTATCAAATAATAGTAAATAGTAAACATTCATTTAGCAGATCCCAGATTTTTTAGACATGGTTAAGAGGTCCTTTCTCTTAATTTTATGGAATATGTAGAAAGTTCCAGTACCTAAGAGTTGGGAAACATAAATGTATATATTATTGATTTTTTTTTTGTTATATTGGTTTATGTATTGTAGCCTACCTCATATTTTTTTCTCTTAACCATCAGATTATTTTCCACTATTTTTGTTTCAGTTTGCACAGTAGGATCCATTAATTCCCAGCCATGCCCTTTTAAAATATTTTGCTTCCCCAGATTGATTTGAAAGTGGCACTATTCTGATTTATGTCAGACTGCTCATTTGTATTAAAGTGTGTGAAATTAGTATTGCAGATAAGTCATTTCAGATGGCATTATTTTGGCATATGAACCCATTTATGCTTATGGAACCCCTCCTATCACAACAGATCACATGAACCAACATCCCAGAGAGCCACTCCTAGATATGTATGCTAACAATAGCTGTGTATAGCATTTATATAATATGCTAACTATAAATAATACCTTTATTTGTACATGATTTTCATGTCCATTTTAAAAGGAGCAGACTAAGAGATCATAATCTTTTGACTTACGTTGGTAGATTCAACAATTTTATTTAGTATAGAATAAAGAAAAAAGATTTTAGTCTTATTTTGAGATTAACTTTAGTGTGCATGTGTGCAGCAAAGCTTCCAGGTTCTATAAATGTTTTAGATAGAGCATTATAATGTTTTAATGTGGTGCCACTAAATTATGTCACACCTTTGGTTTGGATGATCTTCAATTAAGCTCTAGCAATCTAAGCTTAAAAATTCACATTTTAACAGAGATTCTTGTTTACCCTTTTACATACTTATCAAACACAACTTAGTTCACAAGCAGATACTTACGGTTTTGTGAGAAAATACAAAATAACCTCCATAACAACTTCTGAAGGTAACAGCAGATCCAAAAGTCCACGCAGATCTTACTAGCATACCTTATTTTTAAAGAATGGAATTACATTTTGTGATAAGCGAGTCAAAATTTCCTGGTTGCTTGGCATTATTTAACAACATACCTACTGTTTTATGAATTTTATTTGTATTCCACCTTTATTTTTACACACAATGCAATTAAACTTGTACATATTAAATTAAACCTATGCATAAATAGTTGTGCTTCTTTCTTTTGTAGTTGGAAAGACCTCCTTAATCACTAGATTTATGTATGACAGTTTTGACAACACTTATCAGGTAAGTGTCAGAAAGATGATCCTTTGTACTGATTAATGATCAGACTACTTTATAATCGTGAGAGATTATACATCTAGAAAGATAAGAGTTCACAGCGCTCATATTTTTCCATTGGAGGAAAAGCATACTAATGCATAGTATGCCTACTAAAGCATAACTAATTTCCAATCATTAAAATCATACAAAAGCTGTGAAAGTCACATTCTGTTCAGATTAAAATTATAGATGAAACACATTAAATCACAAGGCACTCAGTAATGATTTGATTAAACTGAGGTTTTCCTCTTCCTGCTGCCTGCAAAGGTAGTATCTGATCATCTATATAGTCTGAAAAAACCTCTCTCAAGTTTCATGTAACTTGCAAAACACAACTTTTATGCCACTAACTTCAGCTAACCCTCACTTAACTGTGGTAATTGGGACTGGGAACTCTGTTGCTAAGCCACACCGTCATAGCTTGTGCTGTCACATGACTGTGTCGACTTAACGATAGAAGTTCCAGATACAGTTAGGCAACTTCTGTGCAGTCATTAGGTGCCATGCCATAGGACAGTGATGGCGAACCTTTTAGAGACCGAGTGCCCAAACTGCAACCCAAAACCCACTTATGCATGGTCGGGTGCCGGGTGGGTATGGCCCATTGGGTGGGCATTGCTGCAGTGGTAACGGCAGACTGGGTGGGACTAAAAAGTTCAATCAATTCCAACTTTGCAAGATCTTTTTTTCCCCGCAAAAAGTTGAAATTGACTGATTGAACCTTTTTTTTTTTTTTTTGCACACGGCGGAAGCCTAAAGTGAAAAGGTTTGACAAAACCCAACTGAAGGACTGGGGCGATGGCGCACGTGCCCACAGAGAGGGCTCTGTGTGCCACCTCTGGCACCCGTACCATAGGTTCGCCACCACTGCCATAGGATTATCATTTGCAATCTCCCTCCCTTCTTGTCAGAAGCCAGCAGTGGTTATGAGACACTCTGAGGGTCATAATTGCCAAATGTCCAAATTGAGAGCATGTGGTCAAGTGAATGCTGCATCAGCTGCAACTTCAAAGAGTGACCCTAAGCTCCATCATAACCACAGAATGGTCGCTGAACACTAAAATGACCAAGTTCTAAGTTTGTCTCAGTTAGCGGTAGAACCTAGCTGACTTTGAGCCTCCTGTTTTATATAAATAGCTCATGTACAATTTCTTTGTTGACTAGACAAGAAGTGCTTTCGTGAAAGTCTACAAAACCCAGCTCCAAGGAATGTTTGCTGTGCTTCCTTGGCAACAGTACAGAAGTGGTTTGCAGTTGCCTTTTTCAGGGGAGATTTTTAGCCTCTGCATCAGATCAGCAACTAATGCAGTTAATAATAGTTTAATCTCACACAAATCCATCACATGTTCAGTCTAAAATATCAGTGCAGTTCAAAAATTGCCGAGTCTGGTCTATTAAATATCAGGGAAAGCTATTTAAATGTTCTGTTAAGATTTGTGAACTATGAGTTGGATTTAAAATAATATTATTATTATTTTGTGCTTGGTATTCTCTGATTTCCAGCCTAATGTTCTCTGGCATGGTCTTTTCTAAATGAACTTTTTTAATGGTTCAAAATGAATCTTCTCTCATTTTTCCAGGCCACCATTGGAATTGATTTCCTTTCAAAGACTATGTATTTAGAAGACCGCACGGTAAGTGGAGTTATCTGTCTGCTGATGTTCGTTCCTCTCCCAAGCTAGTACTTTCCCATCAACGTGGGCTGTGGCTTGGATCTCCAGCAAGGAACATAGGGACATTGATGTGCCCGTGGATACCCTTGAACTCTCCTATGTTTCCTCTCCTTTTACATTAATTTTTTTTTTAAAGTTGAAGTTTTAAAAAATGGAAAATGGCGCATTGAGATTATTTTCATTCCCTAAATACATTTAGCCTTAGATTTACAACTTTTGCCTGGATATCTTTCAGCTTGCCCTCCCCCTCCCCAAAAGAGCCCAAGCAGAGTTACTATGCAATATTCAGCAAATGGGCCAAATAAATTTATTTTGTAAATAGTATCCTTTGGAAGCCATGACTCCTGGCCCCAGTTCAGTAATCATTTTATGAAGGTATCCATAAACCGAGTTTCAAAACACGCCTTCCCTAGTCTACAGGAAGAAGGAATTGGCAGCCGAGTTTTTTTCATTAACATCCATCTCACAATCTCTGATTGGATAAGACAGTTTAATGCAGACATGTCAAGCACAAGGCCCGGGGGCCGGATGCGGCCCACAAAGTGGTTTCATGTGGCCCGCGAAGCCATCCTGGAAACAGTGAGGGAACGGCCCCTGCTGCCTTGGCCCTGGCCCAGGCCAGCTGGCCGGGAGCCAATGTACAATTTTGTGGTGGCCATCTTGGCACTTGCCCCGGTGGACCATGCCTTGGCACTTGCCCCGGTCCCAACCCCCTTCTGCCCCTCAGATCTGTCCCACTCCTGCCCAGGCCCCCTTGACGCAAATGATGTAGAACTGGCCACGCCCACCCAGTAGGCCACACCCACTCCATCCACACCTATCCAGTAGGCTGCACCCACTCTGGCCACACCCACCCGGCCCCCCAAGAGCAACCACAATGCTGATGCGGCCCTCAATGAAATTGAGTTTGACACCCCTGGTTTAATGTGACAAGTCCATTGCTTTATCATTGACCCCCTTTGCAGTCTAGGGGTTAGTAAGATATGCTTTTAAGAAAAAGGAGAGAAGGAGCATGAAAGGTATCCATGCCTTAGATCAGATTCCATCAAGCTTTCAAGTCAGACTAGCTACCATAGGGGTAATTTTTCTCTCCAGCCTCGTGACACTGCCTTTTATTCTTGTGTGGGCCAGTCTGCTGACTTCCGGCAGCTTGAGGGAGACCAGTCCACCATCCTGTCCTTATAATAATGCAAAAAGCTTCTGAAGACCAGCTAGACCTATGGGTGAAGGCTAAATTGAGAATACCTGTGCCACGCAGTGATTATGATACCTGATAAGAGTACAAATCTAGATCTCTTTGTCCAAATACTTATCCAGGAAGTCAGATTGCCCTTGTTTTACTTAGGTTACCTGTCACTCAGTCTGAAGAAGCCGTATCTTGAATATTACTTTGCTTTTTGCTTTTAAGAGGTAACAAGGAACATTGGAATTTGAGATGGATCTTGATCTTAATCCTAACAGAAATTTCACATAGTTACATCGGGAGGAATTCAACTTCACAGGGCAAGACAATTGTCTTGTCTTGACCAAGCAGTAGGTTTTTACGTTTGTGTGTGTTTTGAACGGTGAACGGTAGCCGCCATCCACCAACTCAGTGATCGCAGATACATTGAAGTATCTTGAGCCATTTCCTGACTTACTGTAGGGTGAACAGCAGTTTTTCTCATGGAGTGTCTGTGGGTGATAAGCTTTGTCCTCTCATGATTGACTTGCATAGCACAGTAGAACTGGAGCAGAAGTTGCTCAACGGAAGCAATTCAGATATGGCCTAGATGGGCTTGGCAGCTCCTGAACCCGGAATAAGAAAGTATAAGGAAAGATAGTAGTCGAAGGTTCAAGCAAAATGGTTAATGAGATTGTTATGGGTGGGAATATACAGGCTACCAGATCTTTCATACAGAATTCCATCTGGAGGAATAGACGACAAAAGCGTTCTTTCTTTGTTTGTTTAGAAAAAACACGAGTTCTCATTTTTTAGTTTTACGCTGCATTTTCGTTTCATTTTAACTTCCCTCTTATTTACTTGCATTGTTTCTTTGTTTCGAGTATGCGTCATTTTTTTTTTTTAATTTCACATGCGTTCTGCTTTATTTTTATTATTATTATTTTTTGTCCATATTCCTGCTCTTCTCTTTCCTCCTCTCCACCCTTGCCCCCTCCCCCTACATTTTATCTTTTCTCAGATCAGGCTGCAGCTGTGGGATACAGCCGGCCAGGGGAGATTCCGTAGCCTCATTCCCAGCTACTTCCGGGACTCTGCTGAGGCTGTCCATTGTCTTTGGCCTGACAAGTAGGTATTGGGGTTTGAGCTCAGCAGGCCCCTTGTGCTCTGATCAAGGGGAGAACTGAGTTCTAGTTCTTAGGAAGCAGCCAGGACTCCTTTGACCCCCAAAGAGGGGCAGCTGGGTAGAATCTGTAGCCATCACGAAATGGGCATGCCTGGCTTTTATTTTATTTAGTTTTATTTTATTTTATTTTAGTTTGGAAGTGATAATGAGATTAAGTATTTCTCTTCTGGAAATACTGATTTTGTGTCCCTCCCGAAGGAAATACACCTTATTGGAAATCCTCCTCCTATGGTACCTACCAATTCTGATCAGATCGCATTTAGTCTCCAGCTGAGATGAAGGCAAAGTCTTCTAATTGAGATCCCCTCCCTGCTTTTGAATAATACAGAATTACCCCTATATAACTCCTAAGGTTTTATAACTCCATAAATTGTAGGTAGACTTATGACCACAATTAAGCCCCAGATTTTTGTGGCTAAGAAAGACAGTTGTTAAGTGAATTTTAACCCATTTTATGACCTTGCTGGCCACTGTTGTTAAGTAAATCACTACCGTTGTAAAGTTAGTAGCACGGTTGTTAACTGAATCTGGCTTCCCCAACGGCTTGGCTTGGCAGACGGTCGCAAAAGGGGATCACATGACCCTGGGACACTGCAACTCTCATAATTGCGAGTCAGTTGCCAAGCATCTGAATTTTGATGACATGTCCACAGGGATGCTTCAACAGTTGTCAGTGTGAAAAACAATCATTTTTTTTCACTATCATTGTAACTTTGAATGGTCACTAAACGAACTGTTGTAAGTCGATGACTACCTGTACAGAGAAAACCGGCATTCTCTCAAGCATCGTGTGGCAGTAGTTAGCTTTGACATTTTGGTTGGCCTTATTTGAAAGAGCTGAATTGTTTGTTTTCTTTTATTCCTCTGCTGTTGACAATTCTGTGCACATCTTAAATATTTTTTTTTCTATACATTCTCCCCTTTATTCGTTTATATATTTTGATTTGCTCTTAATCAAAAACTGCAGTTTGTGCTAACTTGAAAGTTGCAAAAAAAGAAAACTAACAAACAAGTGTGTAAATATTTGCTAACCAAAAGTTTTATGACCTCAGACCACTCCATTCCAACCTCAGATCCTTCTGCATATTCCAGAAGCCGTCCAATTTGGCTTATTCTAAGTGATCTAGAACCTGGAACGTTTTGAAACTTCTACTAACAATAGCAATAGCACCTGGATTTATATACCACCCCATAATGCTTTACAGCACTCTCTGGGTGGTTTACAATGTCAGCCTATTGTTCCCGGCAACCTGGGTCCTCAGTTTACCGACCTCAGAAGGATGGAAGGGTTGAGTCAACCTTGAGCCGGTCAGGATCAAACTCCAGGCTGTGGGCAGAGTTAGCCTGCAATACTGCATTCTAACCACTCTGCCACAGGGGCTCCAACAATCATATAAAATTCAAATTAAAGCCATATTTGTAAAGTATTAGACAAGAGTCAACCTAATATCATAGTTAAGGCACAGGGGTAGAAAACTGGAAGACAGTGAGTTCTAACTCCTCCTGAATCACGAAGCCAGCTGGGTGACTTTGGCCAGTTGCCCTCTTTCAATCTAGAACGACAATGGAAAATCATTTCAAAAATCTTGCAAAAAAACCCCCACTACTTCAAAGCCGCTGTCCACCCCACCCTCAAACCCTTCTTATAATTAATAGGCTCATCTTGAACATGTAAAAAAATGATGCAAATAACGGTTCATAGAAAATGGTCCATGTTTGAGGAAGCAGATGATTACTATACCTGGAAAGTCTTCAGAGGCAAATCTTTTTTTTTCCTCTCCATAATTTTAAAGTAAGAGCGATGCTGCTGTCTTCACAAGGCAGCTCTTCGCCATGTGCTGCTTTTTTTATTTTTACTGCTCCTGTAAATATTCAAAAACAACATGGGTTGATTTCCATTGAAGAAAATAAATTGGTTGGTTTCCACTGAAGAACATGCTTAAGGAGACATTGTACTTTTTTTTTTCTTTTCCATCTGGAAAAATTGTTGACAAAGAAGCTTGTGGGTTGAAAATACAGCAATAGCAATAGCACTTAGACTTATATACTGCTTCACAGTGCTTTACAGCCCTTAACAATTTACAAATGTCCGCATGTTGTCCCCAACAATCTGGATCCTTATTTTACTGACCTCAGAAGGATGGAAGGCTGAGTTAACCTTGAGCCCTGTCAGTATCAAACTACTGGCAATTGGCAAAATTAGCCTGCAATTCTGCATTTTAACCACTGCACCACCATGGCTCTTGTTTTATCATATTGTTTTACAATATTCCTGTTTTACATTTAAGGGTCCCTAGAAAATGATGGCATTACTGGAAGACTTGGTGTGATATACCTTTCTCTAGAGAATTGATCATATTGGCATAAGATCCCCCATTAGAGATACCCTCCCAGTACAGTAGTTCTTTTTGAAGTGATCCCACACAGTAGGATTCCAGTTCCATGACTGCACAGATTAGTGGATTGCAGCTAATTTTCCTTTTCTCCAGAACAGATCCATTCACTTTCTATGATAACAAAAGTGTTATTCTTATTTTAGGATGATATGCAAGCAAGCAGCCCCTCCCTTTCCGACAGTATTTCATCTCTTAATTCTCCTTGCAGCATCTGTGCTGAGTTGCTCCCGCTACTAAATATTTCCCTTTATTTTTCTGCATTTCCCCCGTTCCCATTATAATATTTAGTAATTACACAACCAGATGGGAATCTATTTGTGATTTTGGCAATATACAAGCGTAACAAATTTTCATTTTCTGCAATCAGGTGCTGAAGTTCAGGTCTGATTTTAAAGTCATTCACTTGTGTCCCAGTACTCACATTAAAATGATAAATTACGATGCCAGCCATTCTTGTTTTGGGCCCTCCTTTTATGAATATATTGGTTTAAGAAGAGACTGGACAGCCACTTGACTGAAATGGTAGAGGGTCTTCTGCTTGAGAAGGGGTTGGACTAGAAGACCTCCAAGGTCCCTTCCAACTCTTATTCTGTTATTCCGAGTAAAACAGGTGACCATCTGGCTGGCATTTTTTTTGGGGGGAGGGGCTTCATTTGTAGTTCAGTCCTTATTGGTGACTGTGAGACACTGCAGTGTTGTAATTGGGAGACAGATGGTGAACACCCAGATTGTGATCGCATGATATAAGGAACAGACTGTGGTTGATGTAAGCTTAGGACCAGTTATAAGTACCGTTGTTCAGTGTTGTAAGATGTTTGGTCACTAAATGAGTGGCTATTAAGCAAGGACCACCTGTATATACTTATCCAGTGGCCCATGTAATATTCTTTCCCATGCTTCATTAATCATATCGGTTGGGTTTTGGAAATATCAGTAGTATCTTCAGCCAGTGATAGTGTTCAACTGAAACTATCATCTTGAGTAATAACTGGGATAATCTTCATTTATAGGTTCAGCTTAGTGCTTTTTTTTTCTCTAGCAGTTGTCAAGTATACCAGACCAACAACATGGTTAAAACTGAAATAGAAAACACAGATTTATTCACAGCGTCTGTTAAGTTGAAATGAATTTCTTTGCATTCCGATTTCTGAGTCTCCTGGCTGCTGGGACTGTGAGCTGATGTTTTAAATTCTTATTGAGAATTTTTTCTCAATATCACTTTTTTTTTCTCACTCAGAAGCCTTTATGGCTGAACAGGGATTTTCTTTGTCTGGTTCTCTTATCATTATGCCCCTTTCGTTATCATAGAGGTATACAGTACAGTATTGTGTATTTTACAGGAAGAAACATTTTCTCTATTGCATGCTCAAAAATAAAAAAATTGGTTCCACTTTATATGGAAGCTTTTAACCTCTGTGAATCTGTCAGATTTTTACCGATAGCCACAGGGGAAATGAACACGTAATCCTGCAGTATTACTTTCAACCCAAATGAAATAATTTTCTAGGAAATAATGACTTTTTGAGGGACGTTTTTCTCAGACATACCCCCATTGTTTTATAGTATGCAAAGTAGTCCACCCACTATGAAATTAATTTTAATCTGTAGCATTGGCGTTCTCAGTTGTCTTGATGAGTTTTTGGAATGAAATTGTTAGATAGCAGAGAGCAGTAGCCTGTGATGTGATTTTTTTATTATTTTATTTTTAATGCCCACTGCTGCATTTTCTGATGAGACATTGGTATGCAATTCTATAGAATTCCTTCTAATGCATTGCCTTTTCTCTAAAGGACATTTTCTTTTTTCTCTTCTGTCTTGTGTCTGTCTGTTTCTTCCCTGGGCTGGTACCAGCAGGTCCGACTTCAGCTTTGGGACACAGCAGGCCAGGAACGGTTCCGTAGCCTCATTCCCAGCTACATACGTGACTCAACTATTGCAGTGGTAGTCTATGACATTACAAGTGAGTGAGTTGATTTGTGTCATGGTGTACCAAAACACTTTGTTCCAGGAGAAATCTGAACACAGAAGCCTTGAGTCACCCATGAAAGCTCAGTGGGCACAGCTCAAGTGATGCCTTGCTGGCAAACGGAAGGCCCGAGTACTTTGCCTTAGGCAAAGAACCATCCTGAAGCTGACTTTGTTTGTTTGTTAGTTTATATGTCATATTTCTAACCCACTCATCTCCCTCAAACTCTGAGCGGTGTACAATACAACATAACCGGTCAATAAAACAATGCATAAAAAACTTAACATTAGAAATACAGATTTAAATTAGGGTTAAAAGAAATCACAAAATTATAGAATAATGACAAACATCAAAAGGGGGGAAATCTTAAGATGGCTATTTAACACTGGATTATTGCAGATGCCGGGCCGGGGGGGGGCTCTTGAGGGACTAGCCAGCCCCACTGTTGGGAGGTCCTCTGTGCCCCCAGGCGAGTCTGCAGATCCAAGTGTTGACCCCTTTGTGGAAGGCCAAAAGATCGGGGGCTTTCGTCACCTCTGGGGAACAAGGAAGTTGCCCAAAGTGTCTCTCTCCCTAGGCCCCCGCCAGTCGAAATTCTTTGACTGACAGGGCCTGTAGCATATGTTCCCTGCCTGATTGAGTGAGACGGGCTGATGAGATCGGACAAAGCTGGTTCTGTGGGGGGGTTAATATTTTGTAGGTGTTCCTCTGTTTTTTGGCCTGACTGGAGTGCATTCAGCTGCCTTCTCCTTGCAGATCTGAATTCCTTCCAGCAAACCTCCAAATGGATCGATGATGTACGAACAGAACGAGGAAGTGATGTCATCATCATGCTGGTGGGGAATAAAACTGACCTTGCAGATAAAAGGTAATTGTAGAGTTTGAAAAGAGAATGATTTTTTGGGGTATGGGATGTGGATGTATTAGAAAAATGTCTGGCTAATACTTGGAAGAGCCAAGGCTTAGTTGAGGAAACTATATTCCATCCAGAAGTTGAATTCCAAGCATTTCTCACTTTTGGGTGTGAGTTTGGGGCTGCTGGGAGTATTGCAATAGCATTTAGACTTATATACCGCTTCACAGTGCTTTACAGCCCTCTCTTAAGCGGTTTACAGAGTCAGCATGTTGCCCCCAACAATCTAGGTCCTCATTTTACTGACCTCAGAAGGATGGAAGGTGGAGTCAACCTTGAGCTGGTCAGAATTAAACTCCTGGCAATGAGCAGAGTTAGCCTGCAATACTGCATTCTAACCGCTGTGCCACTATAATTCAGCAGTGCCTGGAAGACCACAGATTCTCTACTTTTTGGCATGAGAAAAAGTCTTTTTCTTTCCCTTTTGTTCAAAAGAGCAGAATTAAATATTGGAAAGGACCTTACAATAGCAGAGTTGATGCTGTAGTGAAGAAGGACACACTCATTTATTTCTTTAAATTTAAACTCCAAGGTAGATAAAAATCCAATTTTTGCAACTTAGCCAGCCAGCACAAAAGCATTATTCATGGACCTTAGTACCATTCCTATTATTTTTCACCTCTGACTCTTATTTACTTAGAGTGGGTTTGCCTTATTCCTCAGCCAGTAAAACTCCCAGGGAGGCTTACACAGATCAGCGATAAGTTTCTTCCAGCTTGTACTGCAAAATTCATGACACATAAGAAAAGCGGTAGGAAGAGAAGAAGAGGCTGAGGGAGAGACGCCATTGATGGGATGTAGTTACCGCTGATAGTTTCCGTGAGGCAAAAAGCCTTGCTTCTTTCCCCTAAGCTAAATTGTCTGTTTGGAAAAGCAGGATCAATTGTTCCTGGCTGTGCATCTTTTCGTGGTTTTTATGTTAGGGTTTATATTGGAGACGATCTCATAGGCCTTTCCCACCACGCTCACGAGCTCGGTTATTAATGCAGAAGGAGAAATTTCTGATCACAGTGCAGTAAAAATCCTTATTTAGGTCTTTGTGTGTTTAGCTTCTTGTTCACTGCTATTCAACAGAGATACCTCTCTGTTGTTCTTGAGGAGTTCTCACTCACTGGAAGCCACTTAACAATAAGCTTTTTTTTTTTTCATCGTAGAAATGGCTAGTGCAGGGGTAGGCAATCTTGATTCTTTTATGACTCGTGGACTTCAACTCCCAGAATTCCTGAACCAGCATGGCTCAGCTTGGAAACCTCTCCTTTCCCCTCAGCAGGGCTGGCTCAGGAATTCTGGGAGTTGAAGTCCACGAGTCATAAAAGAGCCAAGGTTGCCTACCCCTGTCCTAGGATGAAGATTAAGAGCAGGGGTCTTCAAACATGGCCCTTTTATGACTTGTGGACTTCAACTCCCAGAATTCCTGAGCCAGCATGGCTCAGCTTGGAAACCTCTCCCTTTCCCCTCAGCAGGGCTGGCTCAGGAATTCTGGGAGTTGAAGTCCACGAGTCATAAAAGAGCCAAGGTTGCCTACCCCTGGGCTAGTGTATATAGTATCATACAAGAGTAAAAAGTTGAAGCTGTACACTGTTACCTCATTCTACTGTGCTAAAAAGAGTCATAAGTCAACACTTTTTTATTTCTTTTTACCCTACACTTTTTCCTCTCCCCTTTTTCTTCCCCTGCTTTCCCATTATTTTAGTTTTTCTTTGTATTTTGTATTTTGATAAACCTAGAAAAATGTGAATGCTAAAAAGCACTCCAGCCTTAAAACAGTAAGCTTGTTTTTGCATCCCAGAATTGAGCCCATGAAATAGGGGAGTTGGCTGGAAGTCTAAATACAGAAATTTCTAAAGTAATACATTTATTTTTCCACCTGCACGCGGCTGATTATCTTTAAAGAATGCCAAGTTTTGGGTTTTATTGTCTTTGGGTTTAAATAACTACCAGCCAACTGAGAAATAGGCCAGTCAAAGGACTTATTGCTAGAAAGATTCTGTTTGATGGATGCATGAAAAGGCTTACAGAATTGTTTTGAGCTCCTTCTGAGGTTGCTTCCACTTTCATGGCACCTTATTTCACAATATAAGTACCACCACAAGGGAAGTTAAATGAATTTCTGATACTGAAGAAATCAGACAGGACCCATTAAGAATATGCCATTGGTAAGCATCTGTACAGCACTGGTCAAATTGTATAGGAAGGCAGTAGAACTTCAAAATACACCAACTGTTGTAAGACAGAATCCCCAACTGTTGGTTTATTTTCCTTTTCATTTCTGCAGAAGAGGCCTTACAGAGAACATAAAAACTCAACTTACAACAGTTCAGTTAATGGCTGTTCAAGGTTGCAACAGCACTGAAAAAAGTGACTTATGACTATTTATCAAAGGCCGTTGCAGCATCCCCGTGGTCACGTGATCAAAATTCAGTCATTTGGCAACTGACTCATATTTATGACTGTCGCAGTGTCCCGGGGTCATGTAACCCCCTTTTGTGATCTCCTGACAAGCAGTCAATGGGGAAGTCTGATTCCTTTAACAATTGTGTTACTAACTTAAGAGCTGCAGTGATCCCCTTAACAACTGTGGCAAGAAAGGTTGTAAAATGGGGCAGAATTCACTTAACGAACGTTTCACTTGCCAAATCAAACTTTTGGGCTCAATTGTGGTCGTAAGTTGAGGACTGCCTGTAGAATGAACCAACAATGAAAGTTGGATTTGCTATAAAAGTAGGCCTGTATAGCTTGTTGGAGGTGAACTTGCTGACAGATTGTTAATTCCTACAGAATTGCAAGATAACTTTTTAGGCCATGTGGAACTCAGCCCAACAAAAACTATTAAATCATGCAAAGCTGTCCTTTCTGTTTTTGCAGTCCCTTGCAGGAAACAAAAAAAAAAATAGGATTAGCCAGTACCATTGGCTGGCATACATTTCCTTAGAGCTTTGATTTAGCGGGACGTAGAAATGAACAAAAATGTTTCCATTACTGTACATTTGATGAATTTAGTTTGCCCGCAGCTTTTAGCCAAATATCACATGCCCCCTTGACCTAATTTTGAAAGCTTTCTTGGGAAACTGTCAGTTTATGCCTTTGGCAGGCTGATTGCAAAGGCCTTAAAAGTCTTGTTGATGATGATGATGATGGGACCTTGGAGGTCATCTAGTCCAACCCCTTTCTTACTCTTCAGGCAGATTACTACAGAAGAAGGTGAACAAAGAGCCAAAGAACTCAGTGTGATGTTCATTGAGACTAGTGCGAAGACGGGCTACAATGTGAAGCAGGTAATTTAACTGCAGACCTCAGCAGGGGATTCAGGCCACCTCTTGTCCCCTCCAGTTTGAGGCCTTCTCCGTAGCAAACGTGGACTTACTTCGCTTAATACTTGCTTAAAAGTCATCTGCAAGACAAGTTTTTCCAGCTTTAATTACTGTTTCGCTTTTAGCATCTCTGAAAAGAGCAGATGCAATGTCACTCCTGACCTAAGGACCTTTCATGCTAACTGCTGAAGTGCTTTTACACTCTGCACTCTTTGGATATGTTTTAGTTCTTCTTTCGTCTATCCTCATACGAGAATAGGCTTCATATTCCACCACAAGCATTATGTTCACAAAGTTTTGGGTTGTTGTCTTTCAGCTTTTCCGCCGTGTCGCTGCTGCCTTACCTGGGATGGACAGCGCTCCCGAGAAAAGCAAAGATGACAGTATCCTTGCCCTGCTGATCAGGGGTTTTGTCTTGTACTTACACCTCTTTTCTGTCTACCGTGTCGTTTTTAGAGAGTATGTATCTAATTGGGGTTCTTTTTTTCCTCCATCAGTGATCTTACAGGCAAATTGCAGAGGTCAAGCAATTTGCCTACTCAACCTCCAGGCCTGTCAATTTTGCATGTGTCCAAAAGGACATTGCAAGGTTGCTAAGATCTAATCCAGGGGTAGGCAACCGTGGCTCTTTTATGGCTCATGGACTTCAACTCCCAGAATTCCTGAGCCAGCATAGCTGGCTCAGGAATTCTGGGAGTTGAAAGTCCATGAGTCATAAAAGAGCCACGGTTGCCTATCCCTGATCTAATCTATTACTTCTGGAAGTAGAGTTGGGCCAGTCTACCTCTTTAGAAGCCACTTTCTGGAAGTAAGTGCTATAAGGCCTGGATCTTCTCATAATAGCAGCTGCTATTGTTATTCAGCATTTGACTGATGAGTTTGGTATGTTGAGAACTTGGCCTCAAATAAAGGAGACTATTTGTAGCCCAGGGTTGAAATGAGGGATCCTTGGTGTTCTCTGAGCTTGCTTGCTTTCTTGCAGATGTTTCATTACCCAAACTAAGATCCTCAGAGATAGCGCTAAGGATGTTACCTAGTTTGGGTAATGAAACATCTGTAAGAAAACAAGCAAGCTCAGAGAACACCAAAACTTAGTATTTCCAGAGGACCATCAAACCAAGGTGGTCCTGTTTTCGTCCGCATCCATCCCGTTAATATTTGGGGTAATATTTCCCAAATGCCAGTGGGAAGGACAAGGACTGATTCCCTCAAGCTCATTTGATGGGCTTCGTTGGATCAAAGAGATCTATTTGGGTTTTTTGTGTGGGGTTTTTTTTTTTCCAGCTTGTTCTTCCACCGTGGAGACCTATTTTCCTTAACCGCTTCTCTCCAGTGATTGACATCAAATTAGAGAAACCACCTGAGCAGCCTGTTACGGAGAATGGCTGTTCTTGTTAAATGTTCTACAGCGTGGCAGCCCCTTCCCAGTTAGCCAGTTCAGTCTCTCGCTAAAGAGCACCACTTCTTATTGACTACCAAAACACAACTTTTCCGAGGGCCGCAAGCCCACTTTTAACAGGCCATTGGAGTCATCCCGTTTCCTCCCCCCCACTCCTCAAGTCGTGTGGACCGGTCCCAGTTGCTCTCGTTTGCTGCATGGTGTGAGCCCTCCAATGCCTCTTGCCCTTTGTTGGTTGTTGCACTTTGGTGCTGCTGTGGCACTCTTTTTGCTACGTTTCCTTGTTGGGTTGTCCTACGAATGTGCAGGGGAGACACTTTGTCCCATCTTCCAAAAAAAAAAAACCAAACCCTACTGATAAATTTACCGTAAAGGAGCTAATGCATTCTTCCTTTCACCTCCCTCCTTTTTAAAAAAAAAAAAAAAAAATCTTTTCTACCGCTGCTTTTTATTCATTTGCAGAGGCCGTTCCTCTGATTTGGCTGCGTCTTTGTCGATAGCAAGAAGAAAAGTGTTGTCCTGCTTAAAGGTTTCGGTTCATCCTTCCTTAAGGATGGTGCTAAGGAAGAGGGGAACGCCCTGAGAGAGGATTGACATACGTTCTTCTCTCTCTCTCTCTCTCTCTCTCTCTCTCTCTCTCTCTCTCTCTCTTTCCAGATTGTCTCAGTGTCTTTTATCCCAGATGGACTGATTTACTCCTGCCCCCACCGTCCATTGCTGGATATGTACAGAGATGGTAGGCAGGACTTGGACCGATTGGGAAAAGGTTCTGAGTCCCTTGTGGGAAGCCTGGTTCCTGCAAAATGATGAGTGGGGAGTCTCCAAAATGGAGGGTGTGTACTCTCCAGCAGTTTATTCCAGCCTGCCCTCCCCTTCTCGTGATACTCAGAAAAAACTTGTCCTTCGTGAGTTTTGAAGAAGTGGGTAGCTGGATTAAACAGGGACTTCTCTAGGCTCAGACTAACGCCAGGAGCTGCTATTTTTACATAGTTTATCACTCCATGACTCATTTGAAATATGCAAAGTGCTTTACAACTGCCTCCACTTTTTGCTTCGTTCCTTGCTTTGTCGTTTCGAATTATGTCTCTGCATCAGCCTTCTCCAATCTACTACTCTTTCTCTATTCCCTAGCCAGTAAGGCCCAGGATTTGCAAATTTGGAAAGTGTTATTAGATTGGGGAGAGTTCCCATAGATGCTCAGTCCTGGTCTCACTGTCGGAAGGTCCTCATTCTAAATTCTGGGTCTTGAGTCCACTCCTTTATCCTGACCTTCGAAACATAGATATCTAGATTAAAAATGGGAGTGGATTGTTTTTATTTCGTATACAGTAGAAGAGATGCTAATCCTCGTCATAGGTCTGCTTGCTCTACAAAGAATATTGTACGTATTTTAAAAAAAAGTTTAGAGGTTTGCATAGATTTCTTGAACTTCTGATTTAGCACAGAATTTATTTTCAGGTATCTCCTCTATGACTGAATGCAAGTTGCACTAGCATGCAAACTGACATGGGAAAACAGGTAGAAGATGGCATGAACTGGATAATATTTTCTGATGATATTTGAATAACATGTTTTGTTTGATTTGCGGCCCTGTTTGTCTCAGTGTGGTTGTCCTCCCGTAGATCAGCCTTCATGAATTACGGCTCTTGGATTCCTAATCCATATGGCTACTGGCAGTATAAGCCAGTATTTCTTAACCTTGAGAATTTTAAGATGTGTAGACTTCAACTCCCAGAATTCTCCAGCCAGCATGGCTGGCTGGGGAATTCTAGGTCTTGAGGTCCACCCATTTTAAATTTGCTAAGCTTGAAGAACAATGGTATAGGCTGGAGATTGTTGGGATTTGTCGTTTTGAAACAAAGGATTATGGGAATTGTGGGCTTGCTTTTGAGGATAATTGATAAAGATCTTTGTGTCTGTCATTTTACGACTGGGTGCTGAGGTGATACAAGTGTATAACTCATTGAGGTTTGGGGATGATAAGATGATGTTAACCGTTTTCTTTTGACGTAATCTGTGATGGAAGGATAGTAACGCACGATGTGGTCTTCTGTGATTTTCCTTACTTTTTCTGCTTAACATGGGCTGAGCTCTCCTGGAGCCAAAGTAATTTTTATCCTCTTCTGAAAAAAATTGAGCGGGGGGGGGATCTTCAAACTTGGCAACTTTAAGACTTGTGGACTTCAACTCCCAGAATTCCTCAGCCAGCCCTGGCTGGCTGAGGAATTCTGGGAGTTGAAGTCCACAAGTCTTACAGTTGCCAAGTTTGAAGACACCCTGAATTTGAGGGATTAGAAGCAAGAAAGGGTGATCTAAAATGAGTTCTGCCTATCAGCCCAGCCTAAGCATTTCCTTTCCCCCATCTGAGGATTTCCTTGCTCTCACAAAATGTCCTCCTGGTTCAATTCCTGGCATGTGATTCCTTCACAGGGGCTGAGCTGCAAACGATTTATTTTCTTCTTTGTCTAAAATGCCCTCCTTTCTCCTCGGCCTCACCCACTTCTGTCAAGAGTCCTGGGCAGCGCAGTCGAGTCGTTCCCTTAAGTTCGCAGGAAACCACCAAACGGGAAACACTTCCCATCAAATGATACTTATCTTTACCCAAGCAGTACTGCTACGGCCACGGTTTCTGCAAAATGCATCCTAAAATAACTCGGGAGAAGGCGCAAACTCACTCTCTTGCTTGAGAAACCATGGAGATGAGCCCAGGAAGGTTTCAGTTGATCAATACTGCAGTGAGTTGGTGGCTTTTTCTTACCCTTTGGTGTTTTTGCTGCTACTTCCCAATCTGGAAGCCTCATGCATAAAGGAGGACAACAGTCCGGCAGATGCCATCGAATATTTGCATTAGACGTCTGCGCATCGCCCTCTTCCAGGACTCCACTCTTGTCTCAAAGGTGCTTTTTTCAAGAGGCGACTGGACTATGCTTTTTTTCCCCTTGAGAAAGAAGACATTTTGCTTCTCGCCCAAGAAGCTTCATAGTTCTGATTCAGTTGCCTCTTGAAAAAGCACCTTTGAGAATAACCATGGCCTGGATGACTGAGGATCTCCATAGGCCCGTGGTGGCGAACCTATGGCACGGGTGCCACAGGTGGCACGCAGAGCCCTTTCTGTGGGCACGCACGCCGTTGCCCCAGTCCTACACCTCCAGCGGGGTTTTATAATACCTTTTCGCTTTAGGCCTCTGCCGCCGTATACCAAAAAAAAAAAGGGGGTTCAATCAATTTCAACTCGCAGGGGGAAAAAAGATCTCGCAAAGTTGGAATTGATTGATTGAACTTTTTAGTCCCACCCAGTCTGCCGTTACCACTGCAGCCACGTCCACCCAATGGGCCACGCCCACCTGGCACCCATCAATGCATAAGTATGTTTTGGGTTGCAGTTTGGGCACTCGATCTCTAAAAGGTTCGCCATCACTGCCACAGGCACCCCATCCTCTTGTTTTGGAATTGGGAAAACCAGACCACAGGGCTACTGACTGCCCGCGCTGCTCCTTGCGTTTAGAAATTGGGTGCTTGTAGGGCCAGCCTCTTAGCCCCTGGCACCGAGGCTTCGCATTGCTCAACATTCCAGCTTTTTTTGCTGCCTTTGAAGGCTTCTGCTCAGCGGTCTGCCCTCTTGAAATCTTGGAAGAGGTAAGTGCGTTGAATTATCCCCAATTCTGAAAGCACCACTGACCTCTTCCGATGCTTGGCTGCTGCTGCTGGTGCTGCTATTTCAATTTGTTGCTTTGATGTGCAAAGCCTCGGGCACCTTCTCACATGCCTCTTATCTGAACCCAGGTAGCCCCTGTGTATCTCTTTTCCTCTCCATCAGAATCAGCCAGCCTTGCAAAGCTTGGCTCCCTGGATTTCGAAGGCGGACCCCCTTTGCCAAGGCCTGTTCCCCACCTGTGTAGATAAACTATATATAGATCTAGAGAAAGATATATACTCCCTGTTGTGTGGGAATTGGCAATGTCCTGTCGCGTGTCTGTTCCTTTCTCTGCAGTTAACTGGGGCTGCCGCTCTCCCTTCCTCCTCCAGCCACTGCTGTCGTGGTGTTCTTTGAAGATGCACTGGAAAAACTACTCTCTCTGGAGATGAGGGATTAAAAAAAAAAAAAAGTAAAAGAAAAAATAGGAAAAAAAGCATAAATGTTTGTGGGTCAGGATGGCGGTCGGGGGAAAACTAACCTTGTGAACGACACTGTTCGCTTTCCCCTGCCTTCTCTGTGATTGTGTATAATACTTGAGTGTGTGTCTCGGGGTCTGCTGTCTCCTAGCTGTTAGCCAACTAAGTGACTCTTGATATATGAATATTGACTGTCAGACTGCAACTGTGTATCACACTAAATAAATTCAGTTCACCACAAGTTTTGGTGTCGCGGTGATGGATTCTTCGGGAAGCTCGGCATCCGGTAATGCTCGCTTCCAACTTTGGGTGATATAGGCCGTCAAGCACATATTCAAAGAGAGAAAAAAGCTACCTTAGTCTGCAGCGGCAAGAATTCAGGAATCTAGCGACGCTTTTTTTTTCAGGTCACAAAATTTATTAAAAAGGCAAATGGACAATTTTCATCCCCACTTTTTAATGGAAGCTAAAGGAGAAACGAACGAAAGCACCGAGACTCTTAACTTGGCAACCCTTGTTCTGAAAAGACTGAAAATTATATTTCGAGTGAAAAGAGTTGCTTTACCTCTGGGATTCTTCCATGAAATAAACTCTGCCGCCGGATAATCTTGCCTGTTTTAAAAGAACTGGGTAGTCTCTGATCTTACTTGTTTTCTTGCAAGTCTAGCCCTAGTGCAGGGGTAGGCAACCTCGGCTCTTTTGACTGGTGGACTTCAACTCCCAGAATCCCCGAGTCAGCTATGCTGACTCGGGAATTCTGGGAGTTGAAGTCCACGAGTCAAAAGAGCCGAGGTTGCCTACCCCTGCACTAGTGATATTGGGTAATGAGACCTTTGCAAGAAAGCATGCCAGCTCGAAGAGCATCAAGGACCCCACTGTTCAATCCCGTGCTACAAATGCTGTCTTCTATATAAGCAACATCCTTTTATCACTTCACACTCTTACAAATTTTGAGTCTATGTAGGGCAGTGGTTCTCAACCTTTTTAATGCCGCGACCCCAACCGGTCGTAAGTCGACGACTACCCAACCGGTCATAAGTCGAGGACTTTCCCTGCCCGGGAGCGCCACGCATGTGTGGTTCCGCCCCCTGCACTGGCCGAGGCGTAGCTGGCAAGCGGCAGAGACGGAGCAGGCCGACCACCAGCTGGCCCAGCCCAAGGGAGGTAAGGCACCCGCCGGAAAAGGGGAAAAAATGGCAGACAACCTTGCTTGGCGACCCCCGTGAAATGGTCGATCGACCCCAAATGGGGTCCCGACCCACAGGTTGAGAACCACTGACGTAGGGGCACAATGGCTCAGGAGTTAAAGATGTTGCGCTTGTCGGCTGGAAAGCCGACCGCCAGAGTTCAAGACTCAAGCGCCACGCGACGGGGTGAGCTCCCGCTCCTTGCCTCAGCTCCTGCTCACCTAGCAGATTGGAAGCATGCAAATGCGAGTAGATAAACAGGTACCACTGTGATGGGAAGGTAACAGCGTTCCGTGCACCTTTGGCA